TTCATCATCGTCTAATAAGTATCTCTAAATTATTATGCGTATATAATGCAAAATTTTGTATAAATATTAATTCATCGTCGTCTAATAAGTATCTCTAAATTATTATGCGTATATATGTACCGCTCAAAGTCTTTATCAGTTAAGATCATTTATCACATTGTCGTCCAGTCTTTTACGTGTGCATTATTTTCAATATAAGTCTCTTTATGGAATGAGAGAATCATTTTTGTAAATCTCATTTAAAAAAATAGAGAATATTGAATATATATTAAATATTGAATGTGCTTTGTATGTGAATAATGAACTTCTCAAAAAGTAATCAAAAAATGATTAGTGAAAATTATAAGTAAAAAATAAAAATGCATGAAGCGCTATAATAATATGACGTGTAACGCTATATTATAATTAATTTTCAAAAAGTTGACTCACTCTCGCACGAGTGAGTTGACTTCTTTAAAATGCTACCAGTTAATAAATCTTATCGAGGTGTGCAATTTCAATATTATCCGTATAGCGCACGCCTCCGACCTTCATCCGGATTCCCTGCCACGTGAAGGACGCATAATTTATCGCGCGTTACTGTCCGCATAAACTTTAATGAGCCCGCACTCTTACGAAGGTTTCTAAATCTTGAGAAAACGGCCACCGTGTAAAAGAGCTCGCCCGCCGCACCTGCCATTCGTTATTTCAAAGAAGCACAACACGATAATGAAGCGGACGCTTTCCGGTGATAATTAAACCGCGTATATACTTATATGGGAAATTATTCTGCTTGCAGCCGCGGAGCCGCTTCACAAATGATCCCTTTCAAGTCATCCCTATCACTGTCTTTTACTTTATTCTTCACAATTTTCCGCTCCTACTCTTTTTTCCTCCGTTCTCCACAATATCTTTTTCTCTCTCTCTCTCTCTCTTTTAAACTTCACTAAACGAACAACTAACAATAAGATATAATTATGAGCGCCATTAATGGATCCAGTATATTTTTGACAGTTAGTTAATTCCGCGTGCAATTAACAAGGTTTCATGCCGTGACAGAATTTTTACGAGCGCAAGAAAATTAAACCATCTTTACTTTGCAGCAAAATGAGGGAAGAACGATAGAAAAATGAATGTCGTGCATTCTCGTAAGAACATGGTGGTAAGATGATTGAATAGTTCGATAAGGGTACTTAAAACGAAGTAAAATATTCTTTATCAAAATATATACTTCTGTTTCCAAAATGTTTCTTAAGACACCGTTTAAAATAAAAAATAATGAATATCCTTAATTTCTAATCAAAAGCTGAATTAATTATCTTAATTGAGAGATTGTTGTCGAGTTATTTTAGATATTTAAAAAAACCATCATCGTTATCATGTTTTATAGTATCAATTATGTATGGCAATATGATTTTGTCATATTTTATGATCTTAAATATTTTAGTTTAGTAGATTTTACAATATTTCAAAGTTTATAAATATTATTGATATAATTAAATATAATCGATAATATTTAAATAAATTTACATTTTATTTTTGGAACCTCTTTCAAATTACTTTTACGCCGTGTACCAGTGTTTATATCTTAAGCTCAAGCAATGCAAATTTCGCAATCATAACGGAATTTCTTTTCACGAACCGCATAAGATCATTTTGTTGTCGCCTCGTTGAAATACGATATCAATTTTCTTTGTTAATAATAATTAACTTTTTAATTTGATTTCGTCATACAATCGCGATTTTACTTTCATTTAAAGGATAAACACTCTTTCACTCAACATTGTTTTACATATCATAATTTATTTTACAAGTGTCGATTTCTTTTCCATTAAAAACACTTTTTCCTTAATTTGTTATATGTCGTACAGGCGTATGCCCCGATAATTTAACCAATCTTTCTGAAATATCACATTTCACCATTTCACCAACGTTCGAAAGAAAGCAGAAACCATGCACCGATTTCCTCGACGCGACCGATTTATCCGTAATATCTTATTAACTCTTAATGGTTATCACATGCAAATTTTCTGATACCGATTTCATAAATAAGATGATTAGCATAACAAATAATGTTAAAATATGAAAGCGCATTTCAAAAAATGTATATAACTAATTTTTATATCATAAATCATAGAATTCTTCTATAAGATAATTATCGCTTTAAATGACTGAAATTAATTAAAAAATAAAAGAGCAAGCTTCAACATGTACGAAAATACGTCCTTTAAATGGTCCTCAGTTCGATAATAAAAATATTGAAAAATAACGTGTCAATACCTAACATAATATGATTCGTACATTGGGTCCTAAAATTTTGAAAAATTAATTATCGCTTTAAATAACTGAAACTAATTAAAAAATAAAAGGACTGGCTTCAAAATTTGGGATTCGTCGATATAATGTATCCTCAGTTTGATAATAAATAATTTCAAAATTTTTGAAGCCAGCTTTTTCATTTTTTAATTAATTACAGTCATTTAAAGCAATTATTTTATTTATCCATGAATTTAAAGGATTACATAAATGTCTAAAAAAATATCCTAAATATTTTTCTGGGCAGAACCTCTTTGGATAATTAATGTACGTGCCCAGGACTGTACGAGAATTATTTTACAATAAACAAAATGCTCAAAATACGGCCACCCCATTATATTCGAAAATTTGAGATTTTATAGTTAAATATATATTTAGTGACAGCCTACGTTCGTAACTATGCTACAGAACTATAGAACTCGTCGAAAACTATAAAATTTCATTGTTAAAATTTGAAAAAACGTGAAGTAATGTGCTAACTTTAAAATCAAGTTAGCATATCATTTCACATTTTCCAGATTTAAACATTGAAATTTTATAGGTTTCGACGAGTTCTATAGTTCTGTAGCATAGTTCTGATCGTAGGCTGCCACGAAATATATATTTAACCCAAAAAACTCGAATTTTTGAATATATGATAAGCTAGCTTATTAAAAAATGGAATGTCTTGTTTCAAAAAGTTTGAAATCTTTTATTTTCAAACTGAGGAGCAGTTCGTAGACGTATTCCCATATTTCGAAGCCCGCTTTTTCATTTTTTAATTAGTTACAGTCATTTGAAGCGATAATTTAATTTATGAATTATTTAATTATCTAATTTTAAAGGTATCTATCTATACAAAGAGCTTTACTTTAATATTATTATTTAATTTGTATTAATAATTAATAATATATTATTTAAAGGTTTATATTTTTTAACAGTTATTAGCTGATTTCTGTCAAAAGATTAATAGAGTTCAATTTTTATTAATTTTTTTAATATCAATCTTTTTAATATAAAAGTGAAAAATGGCGCGCGCTTGTGTTGTTCTAGTTTTACAAAAATAAATTGCCAAAAATTTAATCTAAAAATGAAATACCAATTCCATCAGGAACAAAGAAGGATAGAAAGAGAGAAAAATTATTCTTAAATAATTTCTTTATAAATATAATGATTACTTCATTATTAAAATTGTTTTTATTTTTTGGGAGGAAATTTTATAAAATAAAATAATAATTTTGAATAATCTCAAATTATTTTTTGATTATTCTTACTAACGCAATAATTATAAAGCTGTGCAAAATATATCAAATACAATTAATCCTTTTTTCAATATCATAAATGTATGTAAATTGAAATTCTCAGGTTTAAAAACAATTTATATCAGTTAATTCCTCATGCACACTGGTCAATCTACTCACAACAAGCCGCAGCCCTTTTTAAGGGCGAAGACCTGCCGAAACGATTTTCAGCAGCAGGTATGCAGCATCGAATAAATTATGCGCTCCAATCCGAGGCGCGTGCAAAATCCACGCGGCATTAAATATGTATACATGTGATACATCGATAGGGAACACCTGTAGAAGGCCGCAGCAGGGCTCTGATCAAAGAGGAAGGGAACTTGAAGGACCCGGTAGATATCTCTTCAAAGGTTTTCGAATTACGAATCAAATAATCAGTACAGCGAACAAGAACTTATTTATGTACTCACCATTCTTCCCTATCGTTGGCATAAATTGATATGATCGTGTCATTCCTTCTCGGTAATACCTGCCAATTTCCTGACATTTCGAGGTAATGAGACACATGGAGTCGGCACGAGAGAAACTTTTTCGTCATTCGCAATTCAATGAACTCGAGAGTAAACATTGTTTATTAACAAAATAATGAAATAAAAAGATCGATTTTAAAAAGTTTCACGAAAATTTTGAAAAATAATTTTAAATTCGAAAAATACAGTTTTATATATTAATTTTATTTGGCTGAATCTAATAAAGATTGATTGTGAATAATATATTGAGAATAAACTGTTATCAAAGATATATTTACGATGTCAATCACAAAGAAATATAATAATTTCTCCCAACCCCATGCTACTCGTACCTGCGCGATTATGTGCTCTGTCGCGTGAAGTCTTGCATTGCTATTGCACGCAAATTATGGAGGATAATAAATATGGTCTTAAAAGTACAAAATTAACGCGCACAAGAGCCGCGTCATCTCTATAATCATTCACGATTAATTTCTGCGATATTCGTGAAATGTAACAATAAGCAAAAACGTGATTAGAGATTCGTGTCGTCACTCCTATTTCGTACATCAAGTAAGCAGTAAGTAAATAGTTCATTCTCATTCAGATTTAAAAGAAAAACATTTGACAAACCTGATTAAATAGTTTTTCCTGTTTTTAGATTGAGAACATTAAAGTCGAAAGTAGGAAAAAATTTCGGCTTGGAGATACACATATAGCATGTGTATAAAAATTAAAATCGAGCCTTATTAAATAACTCTATATTTGCCATAGTAATAAAAACAAACGATATATGAGACACATATAAAAAACTTTTTAAAAACTGTAAAAACACGCCAAATATATATAAAAGTATTCATATTTGTATATAAGAAATACTTAAAAAACAAAATTTAAGATATTAAAATCCATCATTTATACTTATATATATATATATTTGTCGTTTCTTACCAGAAAATAAAAATTTATCACTCACCGATCAAAGCATAACAACGAAGTTGATTATGTAAACTGAGTTGTATAACCTGTAACATAAAAATATATCTAAATTATAGCAAAGTTCAAAATAAATAATATTTCAAAAAATTATAATTCTTTACATCAAATTTTATAATGCATATAATAATAAACAGATATTTAATAAAACAGTTGTATCATAATTTTTGAAAAAAATATTTTTTTTAAATGTAAGCTTATATAAGATCCTAAATCTAAAAACCTTTTTCTCTAGCTTCCTTGTTTAATATTATAAATTATTTGAATTAAAGCATCAAACAGAAATAAAATGAGGATGAAAAGATGAAAAAACAAAATATCCAAATATATAAATTAAAATAATTAAAATTAAAATTAATTGCAAAATATATTATTATGAATTTTTGAGTTAATTAATTGTACAAGCTTGTTCATAAAGAATGTCATACATATTTCAAAAAAAGAACATAAAAAAATTGTGCCAATAAAATAAATAATATTAATGAAAAAGATTAATTAATTATACATATATGCATATGTATGTATGTGTATATGTGTGCTGCACGTAATTAACTGAAAATGCACGGTGAGATTTGGGCGTATGTGCAGATTTGAAGCTTTCGCCGACCCCGACTCGGGGGTGAGTCTCAATTTGAAAGCCGGCTGATAATTAACGCCACTTCCGCCGTCTGTTTCGTGAAATCGAAGCGTAAAATCGCAAGGTAGAACGATTCTTTTGTCGATCGTATCCCGATAAACGTTCATCTCACTGACAGCCGGGGGATGAGGAGGCAGCCAAGAGAGTTTTGCCCACGCCAAAGAGAGATCGCACAACGGAATAAACAGAGAAGAAAGGAAATGGGAAGCAACATAATCTCACACAGCCGTTATCTCGCGCGTGCATCGCGTTCGATCTGTATAATTTAATAAATCGCGCGTGCACTGTGTGTGTCGATTCTCGAATGGACTTTGTTCGCGACGCGTGATGCGTGTAATTTGTCCTCTTTTTCAGAGGGTTGTCTAAAAAATATTTTCATGCAGATGAAATGCGATTGATGTAAATGAGAAAAAAAACTTTTCTCCTAAAAATGAGACAATTACTGTGATGAGCAATACGCGACAAAAGATATCTACCGCTGATAGTCAAGTCAATTTCAAACTTTCTTTTATAATTCTGTGAAGAAAAAATGTAGTATATTAATCACATGCATAATAAATTAAGTAATAAATTAAATCAAGATAAATTAAATCAAAACTTTAAAATAACTCATGTTTTAACGTTGTTTATAGCAAACCGTAATCCGAATTTATTTATGGAATTAAAATGAGACAAAGTTATAATTATTCGCGTCTTATTATTTTATTATTAACTTAATAGGACATGCCAGAAATTCACGAAAAAAACATATACCTATATATGTATAATGACGACCATCATATTGTAAAACAAAGAACAGAACAAACACGTAACTTCTGCGCCATGCATGTAAGAAACGCACGCGAACGACGCTCCTTTCTTGCTGGTAGCTCCTTAAGAATCCGCCTTATCACGGAGCACGCGCTCACACCTGCCCTTTCCTTGCTCTGGCTTCCCTCATTTATTACCTTCATTACCTACCATTGCATTCACGCCGCTCTGTCTCGCTCCGATTCCGCCGCCACATTAATCTCACGTTGTTATAATAAAAAATCAGTCACGATGACATATCGCCCATTCGGAAGAATTATCGAGTACCGTTATTATAGATTTTTTTTCTATTTGTTTTTCATTTTTATACATATATATATATAAATGTTATTAATATAGAAAATCCTACTTTGTATCAATAAATAATTTATAGAAAGATTGGATATTTTATGGAGCTACTTTCCCATAAAATCATATTGTGATATATTGATATAACGATATAAATGATATTATAAATCAATATATTACAACATTATTTTATGGGGAAGTAGCATAAAATATTTAATCTCTTTATATTTATTATTAGTACAAAATAGGATTTTCTATATTAATGACTATCTATGTCATTAAAATCATTAAATTTATTCTACTTAAAAATCACGAGAATTGTAAGAATAAGTATATATATATGTTGATATGTATATTACCCAATTAGTGGTATAATTGTACTTGTCAAGAGCGAAAACAAAATCATCCCAAGACAGAAACATATGATCGATTAATTATATCAGTAAACGTTGTAGATCATGTTCCTTCGCAAGGTGCAACAAAACGCCGCAACAAAATTCATGTGTTTAATTGATAAGTATATAATCATTCTAAAATTAATGCGAGAGTAAAAGAGAGAGAGAGATGTCTTTGCCATCGTTAAACTATAGATTAAACTGGATATGTCACTGGTTACACGTCTCATTAGTCGGTGAAAGTATCGTGTTATACATTTGATCATCGCCGAATGCGGCACCAGCTGCCTTTCCTTCCTCGCAAGCGACAAACTTGTTATTAATTCCCTTTTTAATATGAAATTTCAAACAGGGGAATACACATACATTTTGCAATACATAATAAATTAGTAAATATAAATATTGCAAATGCTCTTGTATATATGTATGAGATATATATAATTACTCTTTTCTATAACAAGAAATTTCTTTTTATATATAAAGATGATAATTTTTTATTTTTTAATAAAAATGTAATTCTTTTATTTTAGTATTTTAATATTCTATTTTTGAACCAAGTCAATTAGTAAGTATTTATAACATAACACATCAAACTTTGCAAAAGCAAGATGCCCGCTACTTTTTCTTAATTAAAAGATGAATGAAATTGCTGTATCAATCTAGCGATAAGAGAGTACATCAGCATTATCAGCTTTGGAAAATTTATTCAAAAACGATCGTAATATACCTTCTACAATCGGAAGCGTTACGATCTGCTCTCGAAAAAGTTATTGCGTCTTTAAGAACGAAGGAATAACATGTCGTGGCACGCGTCTGCGGCCGGAGCAATAGTAATTACAATTTATTTCGGGCATTCCTGATCCTCGTTACTGAATTCATCGACACACACGTGCGCAAAAGATCACGGTATCAACTTCGTGAAAATTATTTCACGCGCGACTTTGCCATAATGTTTGAAACTTGATTGCGCCTCAGACTTTAATTAAACGAGTCAATTAGCTAATTCGGTATTAAAGAACCGAGTCTTTTACATACGAAATAAGATAGTAGAGCGTTTACAAATGCGTAAATTTAAATGGATAATTAATGATTGTGTATCTAATATTTATCTAATTGCTTATAAAATATTAGTAACTATCAATGATTATATTTTATATAAAATTATGTTTTTCTCTATTTATATATATATATATATATATATATATATATAGAGAGAGAGAGAGAGAGAGAGAGAGAGAGAGAGAATATGTAATATATAATAAATCAATTTAGAAATCGTGATTTTCATCAATTATTATTATATAACGGGCTGATTAATCGATTCACAGAACCATTATTTAAATTTTCTGTATCTATTAAGTTTCATATAATAAACTACATATCACTTCTGTCAAAAAGATGTATAATGTGAATGCATCATAATTCGAAACATTCCACAATTCTCAGACACACAAGTTTTCCCTTAGGTTTTTTTAAACCTTTAGCATGTTCATCCGCGTAATCCAACCCCTGTCAAGTTGCAACACCTTCTGTCTCCTCGAAAGGGCCAGTTCGAGAAAGGCTGAATTCAAGGAAGATCTCGAAAAATGCTCACCGACAAGGCGCGAAACTGCATAATTCTCGTCCTAATTTTCACTCGATCGAGCTCGCTCTCGCCCCTCGAAACGAACGAAAAGAATGTCACATGTGATTTACACCCGCGACAAGTTTCGGGAGAAATAGGGCTCGGAAAAGGGGAGATATAAACGCATTCAACACGATTTTCCATGGATTTTTTAATGCTTGTAACTAACCTCTTGCACCCTCCCTCTGGGTTCACCCCATTTAAAAGAGCGTAAATTACGGGCGACGTGGCGACACAAAAGGCAACCCCCGCAGGCTTGAGCGTTCATTCGTACGTGAAATATTGTGACAGGCGTGAACAGTGACTTTTAAAGCGGCTGCTGGTCGGATCCTTAAGGTTCTTGTTTGCATTAAATTATGCGTCGCCTCGAGGCGAGCGACGAATTATAATACTTGATTGGCCATCGCCGTCGGTGCAAACGCGTATTGTCCGCTGGCTATAGAGAAACATTCTTGCATACATCGCGATCACGATATCATAAGTAAAAGCAGCCAGGTAGGCAATGTAAGTACATATATGCGGTCGAAATTATTTAATCAAGTTCGGAACTACTCAAGAATTCGTCGTGTGAGATTGAAACAATTATCCCGAATTTCTTCGAGACGCTTCATCACAAAAAATTTATTAGCATAAACAATGAGATATCGAAAAACGTATCGAATAACGTATAATTAATCTTAAAGCAATCAATACTCAAGAAGAGAGAGAGAGAGAGAGAGAGAGAGAGAGAGCTTTATTTATGCATATTTAAGCAAGAGTGTCAATTAATATCGAATTATTTACCAATTGCATTAATAAAATACCATGATAACGGATTTTGATTATGCATAATTCAAATATATGTGTATCAAGTGTGCTATTTTATTAATTGTATGAAATATCGGTTAGATTTCATTCAATTTGATGTGTTGTCCACGATAAAGCTTTCTGATACGATTAAAATCGGCTCGATACTGATGACTTCCGCAAGAGACCGACTGCGTGTCACATTTTGCATTGCTACTTCTCGTTGCACCTCTCTGTCACGCGACTATCATTGCATTGTAACCTGGTAGTCACGAATAGCTACTGTTGTCTTGCAAATGCTCAGAATAAGAGAAGAAGAAGAAATAACAGGAACATCTCCAATAATTAATTAATGCAATAAGCAAACTCTCTGCGTGAATAAAATTTTGACCAAAGACCTGCAAACTGCATTGTCAGTTGTTTCGAAAAAAATCTACCGAACATAAATTATATTTTATTTGATATTAATTATCATTAGATCAGAATGCA